TAGCTAGAATAGAGCGGTTGTCGACAGAACGTTTACTTTTACGCACAACAGACGTTGTATCGTAAACATAGGAAAGAGATGGCAGGTGGGAATTGCAGCGGACATTAATAAAAAAAAAGGAACAGCATTACACCAATTAATGTGCAACAGAAAGAGATGCAAAAACAAGCAGCATTTGAGCACGTTACATAGGTCTTTAAAGAAAGTTCAACATTTTCAAGAATTTAGAAAAGTAAAGACGCTTGTTTAAAGATATAATTCCAACCAGGCAGTTATAAAGCCGATTTTGATCTTTTGCGTACCTAAGCAACCTCAAATCGCTGCACCACTTACAATCATTCGGTTATCTCTTTTTGCTTTATCTGTACTACTCATGAAGCGTTTCCTAACTTAACAAGGGCGTGTTCAAAACGCAGCAAAAGACTATAGTCTCAAATGGAAACAAGAAAGAAGATATGTTCATTCTTATGGATAATTTATTGCGGATTTTGCCAATTTTGATCGTCCTAATTATACAAACAAGTTTGCCTATATAATTTTCCCGGACTTTTCATTGCTGTTTCCTGTAGAAGTATCTATAATTTATATCACGGATGACTTGACTTATATACATGTATTTAAATTATTGGTTAGTAAAATTAAAATATGACGNAAAAAGATGCTATCCTTCAGGGACAAATCATAACCTTACAGTGTTTCTTTACGTCATTTCTATTTCGAGATGCGCTATGTGTATAGCAGCAGTTTGGGGTTCTCCAGTTGTTTCTCGCTGGACAGTTGGAGGATGAAATTAACCTCAAGGCGATTAAAAATTGAGTTTTTCAGCTACAAATTATAACTTTTACAGTATTTCTCTATGCCATTTCTATTCCGAAATACCTACACTATGGGTAGTGTCATAACTTCAAATCCAGACTAGCATTTTGTCTATTTTCTAGTAGTCAGCTGGAGCGACAAATGTTTGGATTTGGTAACAATTTAGTGACAATTTATAGTTCATTTTAGAAATGAGAAGTATAACTTGGTTATGCTTACTATGTATGCGAAACATTCAAAGGTTTTTATTCCATATGTAGAACTTTCAAAGACAATGGAAGAACAACGTCTCTGGAGCTCCCCTCATCCAACTTTTTCGTTTGCTACATCCTTTCTTCTTCAAGAACAACTCAAAAAAGTAGTTCTTTTGTTTCTATTATTCTATGTCCTACACATCTCAATAATGCGGTTCAAAAAAACATTCATACTTTGGTCTGTTTAAAATATCCCAAATACATAAACAATTAGGTAGTTATTAACTTTGATGATACCGGCATTACTGCTGGAATTTACGGTTTTACCATACACATACGTACTTAATTGCCGGCTGCTAACGCCCGGATATTAATTATCTCTACAATAGTGCGCTACATGTGCTAATGAAGAGGATGTGTTTTTGCATTAGCATGGTTTGAAAACATTGTACTTATATTTTTTAGACAACAAACAACAAATATTGAATTCATGACAGATTATATAGCAGGTAAAACTCTATCTTTTCCATATAATTTAAAATCTCCCTTCTGGATCGTCTTGTACTAACACTGCAATCCCATAACCTTCCGCCAAGTCTTAACAACTTGTTCCTCAGTTCCTACTCCTCATTGCGGAAAATTGATAGACTGTTTTGCAGTTTTCAACATCTTGATGGATAGGTTTGTGTAATGTGTACTTTGCATCCAACTCAAGCCAAAAAACAATTTCAATATAATCATTATTATACAATTCACAATCCATATCCATTATCGCCGTTGGATAAAGGCACTACTCTTGTACCGGAATTACTTAACAACAAAAACTTCAGTGAATATTCATTTTCGTTTCTGGTTGTTAAAGATATTAATTTTTTNTCCCGGACTTTTCATTGCTGTTTCCTGTAGAAGTATCTATAATTTATATCACGGATGACTTGACTTATATACATGTATTTAAATTATTGGTTAGTAAAATTAAAATATGACGATTATAATTACGAAAATTTGCGTAGGGAGCTGTAGATTCCCTGCGTTAACTTCAGAAAGTTAATCCAGCACAAAAGAAGTTGAAAAATTAAATTACATTTATGGTAGTAATTCTAAGTACTTTTTTGTTACTTATTAGTCAAAGTAACACTTCCAAAGTACTCTTATCTATTAAGTAACTATTACGAATACTTATTTGTATATTCTAAAGTCCATTTCAGATTTAAAGTCATACACAGCAATAGACAGAAAAAGACGATCGGTGATGTACTTTCTGTTTTAAAAAAATTGTATAGTGTCCGACCGGAAGTTCGGTTTCGGTTTCGGTCGAGTTTTAGCAAAAAAACGAGCCGAAACTACGACCGAAACCGAAACTGCGTTCGGAAGTTCTCGCGCTCTGCTCGGTCATGTTCGGCGCGATAAATTCCATCCAAGCGAAGTATACTCTACTTATTCAAATAAACATCTCACATATTTTAAGTATTTTTAAGGCGCAATTAAAGTATTTCCTTAAATGAGGGATTGTTATGTTGATTTTGATTTGATTATCAATAAGTGAAAATGTCAAAGACTGCAGAGCTATGTGATTTAAAGATAAAAAAATAAAAATGACTGATTATAATAACGTTTTCTTTATTTTTCTCTGAAAACATGATCCTTATAAAAAAGTTTCGGTTTCGGTTTCGGCCGAAACTGAGACCGTTGCCGAAATTCGGTTTCGGTTTCGGTCGTAAAAACCAGTTTCGGTCGTAAAAACCAGTTTCGGTCGGACACTAAAATTGTATCTAGTCAAAAATCGCTTTGGTATAATAGTGATAATACTTTTACTATGAAATGGACATTAGGTATCAGATAAGAAAAATCGAAAAATTATTTAAAGCTTTATATACATATATCTAACACGTATGAAACGTTAAAATTAATAAGTTTTTGTACCCGTTATTTATCTTTAATAAACAGAACCATCACATACTGCAAATTTAGGAATAGTTTCATAACAATATCCATTTATTAACTATATTTTTCAACTCGCTATCAAAAGATTTTCTTTTAACAGTTGAATTGTTATTTTAAAGTGAAAGAAGAGTACGTGGTAATTACTTTATTTAGAATTCTGGTCCCTTGTAATTCAAATAGTCTGTACGAAGTAGCTTTTCAGGGTCTTGGTCCGTAAACTATCCGACGTAGATCGCGATTTCCAACTTATTTGCTCTTCTCAGCACGCCATAGGTCGTCTCGATAAGGTACCGACCAAACCGAACATAACGGTGTTAATAGCAAATGTTTTTTAATTTTTTTAGGCAACTTAGTCCTAAAATTGTTAATAGGTACTTTTTGATAATGAAGGAACATATTAAGAGCATATTTCAGATAAATGTAGTAATTAAATGATGGAGGCGTTGAGCATGTTACAAGTGTTTAAGTGTTACTTCTTTGAAATGGTAAATGGTGATGATGTTGATGTGACATATTCCATATTTTCCTAGGTAATTATCCAGATTTAGGGTTCCAGGCCAAAATCGCTCCTAATGTTCTTTTATCGATTTCCGGTCATTAATAGAATTAGATATTACAAGATGGGGGAGACAGTTTTTTATGACTTCATAAATAAAAAGAAAAATTTTTTGAATGATATTTTTTCAAAATTCAAATCAGAGTTGTAAACTGTAGGTACTGGAAGAGATGGGTGAGAAAATCAGGGCGGAACGAGGCGGTGTTAAATGTTATGCAAGCTTTTAATCTCCTTATCTCACGATTTTTACTGTGTAAAATTTTTTTATTAATATTAAAAGAAGAAATAGCTATACATACACCATATACCCTATGATGTACGCTGTAATAAAAAGAAATGTTCCTCCCTTTCCTCAAATACAATCATTGAAGCCTCAGAAATGACCAAAAATCGATGAAAAAATTTTTGGAACGATTTTGGTCTGGAGCCGCAATTCTAGGAATTGTATGAAATTTCGATATCGTACTAGGAAATGCATAAAACTAATGGTTTCTAGGAATAAACAATTCTAATATGTCAGCCCGCCTCCTGCGGGCACGGACATTCGATAAACTCCAATCTGTCATAAATCTACCGAACCAAAAAATGACATCACCAATTTTTTTGAAAATATCACAAAAAAAATTTTTTTTTTATGAAGGCAGAAAAAACTGTCTCCCCCACCTTCTAATATCTAATTCTATTATATATACGTAGAATTACTGGAAATCGATGAAAAGATTTTTGGAGCGATTTTGGTCTGGAGACCCAATTCTGAACAATTACCGAAATGATTTAGTCATTACTTTGTATACATTTGGAATTGCTTTTTGAATTCATTTACTTGTGGGCAGATTCGGTTTTTGTGGGCTGCAGTTTAGAACAAAAGAGTCCCTGTATTGATCATGTATTGATAAATGACTTAATTAATTTTCTGTACAAGAGTGTTGCCCAAAAAAAATTAAAACCATCTGCTTCCATCATACTCAAGCGTAGTATTAGGTAGACAATGAGACTACTTGAAATTGAATGTAACAAAAACTTTCATAAATACTACTAATAAATAGTAAAAGCTTAATGCTCTACTAAATTTAATAGAAATGCGTGGGTGGGTACATCAAATGTTTGTGCGTCACAGAACCCCAGTTAACGGAAAGAGCAGGTATTTTGATGTTTGCTTTGTGCTCATTTTGAAATCAATAATGCATTAACATAAAGATAGGAGACGAAAAATTAGAAGAAATAGCTGATTCTAGGTATCTAGGAAGTTAGGATCAGTAAGGATATAAAGCAGAGAAGGTTAGAAATGGAAGTCAATAAGAAATAGGCCAGATAGGTTGGTAGGACCCCTCCTCAGGCATTAAGGTGTAGTCAGAGACATACTAGAGGCAGAAACAGGATTTAGGAGGGGTAGAGGTAGACCTGGATTAGATTACTGTTCGCAAATAGTTAAGGATGTGGGTTGTTCTAGTTTTAGGGAAATGCGAAAGCTCAGGATAGGAAAGAGTGGAGGTGCGTGTCCAACCAGTCTTAGGACTGACGACCTTAAATACTTCAATGGACGGATACTGCTATATAACAACAGTAGTTGGATGTTGGAGTTAAGGTTAGACGAAGATAATATAATTTGAATTCCAAATGAACTTAGTGATGATAATTCAAAAACTTCATTTGACTGTTTTTCCGTTCACTGTGGTTTTAAAAACAAACTATATTGGATTAGACACAAGAGTGTAGTTTTATAAATAAGTATATACATATAACAATACCGATGTTTATAATAAACGTCCAAATTTGTTATTAAATTTGAGCCTCGCTTACAGTCATAGATCTATGGATGCGCGGAAGGATGTTGAATTTTTGGCACTTAACTTTGAAGACATAAGTACAGTACCTACTTATAATAATGTTAACGAAATTAGATAGGTAGCTGCCTAAAGGAAGAATCTCAAAATACTTTTTTCTGAAGTCATGTAACAGAATTTAACAAAACTTGTAAAAAAGCCCATAAAGGACTAAGATGTACGGAGTAGACAAATCGATTGACTTTATTATTTATTCATTAATCTGTGGGAGCCTTCCATCAGGTTACATAAAGTTGTGCTTGAGGCAACACCATAATTTGAGATTTGTTCAGTAGGTGACCCAAACATTTTAATCAATAATTAATATCGACTAGGTATATTACTTGACATAACCTATTCTCTATTTTATTCATATTGTACATAAATGACAGTTTTCTAGAGCGCATTCATTTACGTATAAAACAAATAATATGTTTAATTTACGGTATCTTGTGTATTAAAAAGGCTTATAGGTAATTCAAATTGTGCAACTCTTTAAAAGAGTAATTCCTAAACTACAAATCCTATAAAATACGCTTGTTGGAAAGCTCCCAACGTATAACTATTGTTTAGAAAGTAAAGTGAGCTTGAAATGTCATTTCTGTATTGTATGAACCAACTGAACTGAACGGGAATCTGTAACAAAAGACGGTAGCGTCATGGCGGTTTACGCTACTGCCTTGTTTTACGTATAAAGCGTACAAAGTTTTCAGATGAAGCAAACTTGCCCATCCTGCAGTACAAAAATACAAAAAAGCATTGAAGAATGTCGAAAAATTTGAGAGTTTCAAGTGTTGGTGAGGCTAAAGTTAGAAACAAACGTTTGGATAAGGTTCGTTCAATTTCTTTGTTGTGTAGTTCGTTTGGAACTTTGTTGATCACACAAAGCCACGCCAAGCGATTTGCAAGCAGAATGTAGAAAGATTAAGGCATTTTTCTGCATTTTACAAAAATGTTCTTTAGGTTTTTAGTCACTAAACATCCTGACAGCAGCTCGTTTCTTTAATCGATTCTTGTGGCTGTGAATCACTTATTAATGCGTCCAATTCTGATGGAGATGTTAACTGAAACAAAAATAAAATCTAGTTTAAAACATCCAAAATTTGAAGTTTCTCAATGTAGTGTTTTAAAAACAGTAGGTAACAATGAAAATAAAGAACATCTACATATTTCACATGTGTGATGTTGTACAAATTACAGTCGAACTTCTGTAACTTAAACTTCTATTATCCGAAATGTTATATACGAAACACTTTAAGACACTCAACAGTGAATAATATTAAATATTTTATACTATAAATTACCTCACGTTAATGAACAAAAGTTGTTATTGCTGTTACACCCTCGCCGGGAATAGAAATCGGGATCATTGGTTTTACGCACCAGTGCTCTGACAACTAAACTCATTAGCTTGAGGTAATTTTATAGTAATAAAAATATCGAAAATGCTTTTTAACTAGGATTTTTTCTGTCCTACATTGTTTTTACACTAAATAAAAATAAATTTTATAAACTCTAGTTTCTCCATTCCTCTAACTCGAATTAATTCTAACACTGTTAAATGTTATAGACATTGAAAATATTGCATCAGTTTATAATTAAACAGCACAAGCGGAAAAATTTAATTACCCTACTTTTCCCTCCTATCATAAAATTTATCTACTAAAATTACAATTCGGTTGGATACTTTGCTCGAAGTGTTTTGCTTCTTAACCAAAATAATTACTCCATTAATTAAACGAATTCAATTTTAAAGATCAAGGAAAACGACTCGGAAAAGTTAGTTCCCTGAGGAATTTTAATATCCAGGAAGTTACGTATCAGTTAAGAGATACATCTGTCTTTTAGATCCTGGCATCATTTGAACTTTGACTACTCAAATATTTGTATTAGGTAAATAGTATTTTACAATAAAATAAATTTGTTTACTTCGTCAAAATTATTACCGATTTATTTAGTCATAAAGTTTCATTGTCGAGTTTTATAAGATTTACGAAAAACAAAAGTGTCTACGATATAAAAAACGTAACAATTATTATTATAGCATATAGATAAACCACTTCTGTTGTGCGTCCATTAAATTTTTTATTTTTAAAAGATTTCCATGCAAAAAAAGCAGCCAACATCGAAAATAGAGAACAAAGAAAATACTTACGACATTTAGATATGTATTTCAGCATACATCGATGTAAGCCATGCAAAAAAACAAAGTGACAATAAAACACCAAGGATGCCGTAATAAAACTTTATTTTTAAGTACGAATGGTATAAGTAAGTAGTAGTAAAAAATGGTCCACAATAACAACTGATTCATACATACAACATACATTATCAAAAAATATACGAAGTGAAAAGCGTGCAAAATAGCACATAGAACAAGGGCAGTAATTGCATGTTGTGAACAGATGAAATGTTACACCAAAAAGTCATTCCGATTTTTTTTAAGTACAGGATTTTTCAAAATTCAGGCCAATACGTCACAATAATTGAACGATTTTATAACCAAGGGAAGTTTTACAAATTTCCTAATATTTGTGTATCTGTTTTCTATTGAAATTCATTGATGCAATGTTGACAAAAACAATTTGCAATATAATATGTCAAATATAACATTATTGCTGCATTATTATTACCAAGAAGATTAGAGATAGGACTTATTTAATGTAAGGCGCAAGTATCTAGGGTGTCACCAAATTGTGCTCGGTCGTCCGCTGCGCAACAAGGTAGTGCGCATCCGATTTCTACAACTATCTAACGAAATTGCTTCAGTGTCTAATCGTCTTGGTTATCATCATTAGTAATTAATTACTCCATGTATTACTGTATTTTATATTATTTTCAGGATTTATTTCGCGTTCTTCAATACTTCATAAATATTTGCCCTAATCAATGAAAAATCCAACATATATTAAGCAAAACCAATAATTAAAAAAAAAAGTCAAAAAGGTTTTTCACATTTGTACCTACTATATGGTGTATCATTTTATGTAGGTAGGTACAAATCGGTAAATATAATTGCTTCATAGGCCCTAGGTAAACTGCAACCAACTTGTTCTACTTAAACTTTTCAACAAATGTAAAACTGTAATTATCATATATCATGTATCTACGATTTCATTTGTTGCAATTTACCGTGGCCAGATGTGCTCAATTTTTTGAAAAAAATATATAAAAACATATGTATGTATTTACAAAACATGGTATTGGAAATAAATAAAATTTGTAGGTATACAAGGAAGCGGTTGTGTATTATGTAAAAATCTATTGAATATTATAGTTTAACTTTGATCTCTATAGATATTGCACTTCTTCATTTTTCGAAAGTCGATATTAATTTTTTTTTTAGTTTGAGCAATTTAAAATATTTATACAACTCAAACTTTTGAATTTTTGAGAATTTTCTTGAATTTTATAAAAAGAAATGCGTGATGATCCCGGAACCTTTCAGAAAACTCCACAAAACCCCGGGGTTCCGCGGAATACACAATAGGTACCAGAAGAATTATTGCACATTTTGAACCATATTTTCTAAATTTCATGTTATACAAACGTTAACAGCCCTTTGAGTACCCAAGGAGTATTTAACTGTTAATTTTGATTTTCATAGGTGCTAAATTTTCGTAAAAATCATTTTTCTAAAGCGTTTCAGACTTCTCAGTATCTTTTTTTTTTCGTATATTACTTTCAGGTCCCTTACATTTAAATGTTGATATGTTTAATGTTAGACTTAAAATTAAGCAATTGATAAGTTTTTAAAAAATTTTCGGTTAGTTATTAATTAAAGTATCTCGGTCTATCATCACCAAGTGCCAGCAACACATATTCCAAACCCTTTTCCTAAAAAAAAGAAGAATAAAATATAATTAGAAGAAAAAGACAGTGAACAAATCTAAACAACAACCAATAATTTAAAACACACATAAATGTACATATATATGCATTTACAAACATGCAAAAATCGTGAACTTTTGAAGTGTTGTATGTACAGAATTATAAGACATTGTACATTTAGTCAGTTCGTTAGTGTCCGACCGAAACTGGTTTTTACTACATTTTCACTTATTGATAATCAAATCAAAATCAACATAACAACCCCTCATTTAAGGAAATACTTTAATTGCGCCTCCAAAATACTTAAAATAGGTGAGATGTTTATTTGAGTAAGTAAAGTAGACTAGACTCATTTTTCTTTTGAAGATTATTCATGCTTTTTTTTATATAATATTAAACATAAAATTACTTTTGTTATTGTTACCTAATATCACAATAGGTATAGGAACTTAATATTTAAGTAATAAACAAAACAAAATAAATCACTTTTATCTTAATTAAGAACAAATTAACTTCTTCTAAACTTAATTCGTCATGTTGAATGACACTAAACTTCAACAGAAACAAAAGGTAAACGACTAAATTATAAACTAATCGTGATCATAATATTGCAAAAGGCGACAACTACTAATAATTTCAAGTTGGTACCTGTAATCATTATTTCTTATTAGTATTCATAGTTAAACAATCTTATGTTATGGCGAAATGTCTACTAATCTACTTTGCTTGGATGGAATTTAACGCGCCGTTTCGGTTTCGGTCGTAATTTCGGCAGGTTTGTCGCCGAAACCGAAACTAAACCGAAACTCGTTTTTTTGCCGAAACTCGACCGAAACCGAAACCGAACTTTCGGTCGGACACTACAATTCGTCATAATAGTACGAAATTATTAAGAGTATCGGGAAAAGGTGTTTATAAAATTTTTGTTCAATTGAGTTTACTTACATTGGATAACTATACAGGTTGCGAAAGAGTGAACTGTGACATACACAGTATGGGAATTGCCGCTTTCTAGATATGTGTCTTCACATATAGAGATGTGCAAAATGGTTTTTTAAAAGTATTTAAATACAAAATGCAAATACTTTTTTGATTTGTTATTTCAAATGTAAAATACAAAATGGACTTCTCTTTCGTACTTTAAATGCTAAACGCAAAATACGTATTTTCAAAATACTTTTTTTTTTAAATATTGGAGTTTTAGGTACAAATATTGAGTGTAAATTATAATATATCGTGAATCGGTTCGTACAGACTATGTTGATGACGTCAACGCGATCTTTCAATAATCTTACACTATCTCATTTTTGTTTTTTAAAAAGTTTTAATTAAAGGTAGAACTAAAAACGAAGAACCATTTTTTAAACTATTTAAAAAAATAGGAACGTGAGAACTCATTTAATTCTATACGTATAAAACGTGATTTTAATGAAGTTGAAGAGCTTTCAAAGAAATCCGAACTAAATAGAGCAAACCTTTCGGGGAAAAACTCAAACTCGTCAGAAAGCTCATTGAGAGCTCTCGGCAATTACTTTCGACTAGAAATCGCGTAACTTTGCCACATAGGTGTTTTCGGTAAACAGAGAATGCAGAAGAAAACAAACAAACACAAACGTTTCTTTATTTTATTACCGTCTACAAAATTATCCCCGCAAATAACTGAATTACATTTTAGCTAAACTATTTACTTCTTGATTAAGAATATTTACCAGTGACTCTAGCATTTAAATTGTAGGCAAAGACCGAATATAAATATAAGAGACGAAGAATTGGAAGAAGTAGCTGATTTTAGGTATCCAGGAAGTCAGATAAGTCAGGACGGAAGGAGCAGTAGGAATATAAAGCAGAGGATAGCGCAGGGTCGGGTTGCCTTCAATAAAAAGAAGTCACGTCTATGCTCGCGAACGGTTAATTTAGAATTTCGAAAAAGATTGTTAAAGAGGTATGTTTGGAACGCAGCGCTGGACGGGTGCGAAACATGAACGGTGGAAAAAAAAGATTAGAAGCGTTCGAAATGTGGTGTTACAGACGAATGATGATGACACCGTGGATAGAAAAGGTTAGAAATGAAGAGGTATTAGAAAGAATAGGAGAACAGAGGACTCTATGGAAGTCAATAAAAAATAGGCGAGATAGGTCAGTATGACACTTTCTCAGGTATGAAGGTCTAGTCAGAGACATATTAGAGGCAGAAACGGTAGTTATGAAGGGTAGAGGTAGACCTAGATCGGAT